TAGTGGGCAGCAGCTACCCGAGGGACCAGTGCACCTACCACACCTCATGACAACACACAGCACTAAGGAGGGCAGGAGTTCACATTACCACTCCCCTCAGCTGCTGACACTGTCCATGCTAAACACACTGCCTCCACCTTAGGTCCAGAAACCCTACTGCCATGTATCAAGTGACCAGAAATGGGCTTGTTTCCTATGTGCACCCCAAACACGTGAAGGAATGTTTAAGAATTATTCATAACAAGGAAGAAAATCTAGTGGCAATCCAAATGTCTATCAATAACAGAACGAGTAAATAATTGTTTCTGGTAGCTCCAGGTATCAATTCAGGGTTTTGTGCACATAGGCAAGCACCCTGCCTCTGAGCTACACCCCCAACTATATATTATGGTCTTATAACAGAACATAATATAGAAATGAAATTTATTATCATTCACACACACAATAATGAGTAAAAGGCATAAACGTCCACGCACCATATGGTTCTATTTCTATTAAGTTCAAAACACACAAAACTAATTTCTGATGCTACCAGTCAAGATGGTGCCTGTGAGAAAGGGGTGAGGTACTTAATGACAGAAAGGCCAAGAAGGCTGTGCTGTCAAAAGCTGGAGACGGTTTGTGATTATTTATCAAGTGTGAATTTGGGATGTAATTTTCAGGGTGTATGCTAACTTTAATCAGCAAGTTGATTTCAGACCTTTAGAAGAAGAGTGGAGAAGGGTAGAGAGGAAGAAGGGAGGGAAGAGAGAGAAGGGGTGGGGACAGAGAGACAAAAAACTGAACCAAAGGGGCTAGAGAGATGGATCACAGTTAAAAGCACTGGCTGCTCTCCCACTGGGCCTGAACTCAACTCCCAACACCCAGGTGGCAGCTCAAACCTTTTCTAATTCCAGCCCCAGGGGATCTGACTAACTATTCTGGCCTCCATGGGCAGTGAATGCATATGGTACACAGACGTACATGTAGGCAAAACACCCATACACATCACAAAGAAAGACAGACAGAAAGGAGGGAGGGAGCGAGAGAGGGAGGGAACTTAACAATCAAACTCAGTGTTTTGACCTTGTAAGGTTCTTGATTCGATCAAACTAATGTTTATAGGAAACTCTACCAATATTTTTGGACAGGGCAGTATATAATTTAGCATATATATATATATATATATATATATATATATATATATATATATATATATGGCCAGTTCTTTAAAAAGGCATAGTAATACTAACATGCATTTATATTTCAATGAAAATTGTAGCAAACCAGAACCATTTTATAAATGAGCAAAACTGAGGCATATCAGAAACTATGAGTGAGCCTTTACTGAGCATCTACTATATGTTAGGCAGGGGGCTCAGACTTTAGACTCAAACCCTGTTAAGTTGCAAGGGTCAGACTGAAGACCAGGACAAATGCTGGCACAGGCAGAGAGCTCACACATGACAGAGTATCTGCCAAATCACACAGACAGGCTGGGCTGACTGGAACCACAAGAGAGAAAACCAAAAGCCTTAACACCAGAGGTGCTCAAACACACAAGGAACTGCCTGTGCATTTGGACAAAGACCAGCTATCTGTACAAAAAGGCATTCTTGCTCTATGAGAATTTTCCACATTTTTCTTAAGAGAGAAAATAAAGTGATAATCAGAAACGCATGTAAGGTGAACTGTGAGGACAAGTCCAAACACTGACCATTAAGTTTACCAGGCAATAAAAAGGAACCAGATTGGTTATAAAGTAATTAGAAAGGACTGCTGTGGTCTTCGGGTGAAACCAGATACCAAGAAGGTTGTGCTTCCCAGCTCAGTGAGTCGCAGACCTATACCAATAGAAATGAAGTCCTGGCAGAGTATCTGAGTACATAAACCCATGCAGGAGGACAGGGCATGCCAACAGAAGATATCATGAGCCTAATCTACTCAGCTGAAACCTCCAGAGTCAGAGAAGTGGCTCAGACTCTGCATTTTGGAGTATTAATGTATGTATAATGAGATTCAAATCTAAGCAAACCCACCTATGTTTCATATACACCTTATATGCACACCGAGGGTACTTTTGTACAGTCTTTTTTGAGTGTTCCCATTTTGGCTGAGATGTGTAATATACAATAATTCTTGTTTCATCATGCTGTTACTCAGGGAATTTTAGGTCCTGCCTAGTCCTGTGGATCAGGGCCTGGAACCTTCGTTTCAGACAGTAAGTTTATCTACAAACTCTGTGATGTTAAAGATGCCTCTTCTGTTACCTGGGACACAACATTTGCAACAGATTTCCCAATGAGTGAATGTATGATCTAATTCTAGACCTGAGACATATCCTGCCCGAATCATGTGTATTTGGTATACCTCCTATTACATTCAAGAATAAAGGTACTGAGATTTAAAGGGAAAGCTTTCTGATATCAGAAAAGCCCTGTCTCTACCAGGCTCTTCTAGGTGTTCCCACATGTTCAATCCTGTAGACCCCTCACTGAGAATGCACAGCACTTAAGTGACTAGCAATAATGAATGGCCGTCATGTTTTGGTAAAAATCCTTTGCCTTGAAAATAGAGGTAGGCATTAAGGCAAAGCTGAGTGTCTCCCAGAGCTCCCACACCAGCAGATGCTTGCAGGCCTGAGACAAGAAACACACACATGCACACTTGCGCACTCACACACACACTCGTACATACACACTCTCGCACGCATGCAGCACACTCTCAAGTGTGTGCCCACACACACATAGAGTGCATGAGAGCACAAGCACATTACATTTTAGAACCACATTAAAAATTCTTTATTGCTGGGTGGTGGTGGTGCACACCTTTAATCACAGCACTTGGAAGGCAAAGCCAGGCAGATCTCTGTGAGTTCGAGGCCAGCCTGGTCTACAGAGTGAGATCCAGGACAGGCACCAAAACTACACAGAGAAACCCCATCTCGAAACCCCTCCCCCCCCAAAAAAATCTTTATTTAATGTGTATGGGTGTTATGTCTGTTCACCACGTGTGTGTGTGCTGCTCAAAGAGGGCTTTGGATTTCTCAGAACTCACTGATGACTGTGAGGAGCTGAACTTAGGTCCTCTGGAAGAGGAGCCAGTGTCAATCACTGAGCCAACTCCCCAGCCCAAGAACCACGTTGTGTGAGGTAACTGTGTCAGTTCCTTTTGCTCTCAGTCTCTTAAGCTGGGTCATGAACAAGACGGCAGCAGTAAAGGGTTTCTGAATACACGGCAATCAAGCATTAGTTCAAACGTGTAAGGACTCGGAGCTGTTTCTGGCAGCACTCACCGGTGCTCTGTCATGCAGCTTCACTGCAGTCTTTGCTCTGAACACACTACCTGCACACCCTGCCCTGAGTAGCCTGTCAAGTCAGGAAGTGCCGATGGATGTGGCCTGACGCACCTCAGCTGAGATATGAGACTATGTGATGTTCTGAATTGCAGTGCTTTTTACTTTAGCTGAGAAGCTTCTGCCCTTATAGACATACACAGTTTAAATACAGAAACAAATACTTCGTTTTGTTTTTTTTTTTTTAGACATGGTTTCATATAGCACACGCTGGCTCCACACTCCACATGGAGCTGAGGATGACCTTGAACTTCCAATCCACTTGCTTCTAACTCCCAAGTGCCACCGCTCTGTCCATGCCACCACACCCAGGTTATAGGACACTAGGACTGATGACAGGACTTCATGCTTGCAAGGCAAGCACACTCTACAAACCGACTATACTCCCAGCTCCAGTATAATTATCAAAGCCATCTATCTTTAGATTGTGCTTCATTACAAAGTTTGCTTTTAAAAAATCACTGCCTGAAATACTGACTTGAGTTACACTAAAAAAAAAAAAAAATCTTCAATGAATTTTGGCTTGGGAGCAAGACAGAATTTCTGGAAGTTCCTGAAATGGCCCCAAACATACTTCTGCTACTTTGTACCAGGTATTTATGAGGAATGGTGTTCTCAGCTTTGATAACTATAAAATCAAAATATTGATCAACTCTGAAAAATGCTGAAGATGACCTATGTCCTTCAGTTTCAATTGCTCAACCAAGGTATAATTCTTTATGTAAATATATAAGTACACACATCTCCTTAACATTGCTTCTCTCTTTAATAAATGGTAAAATATACAAATACCGAGTAACATTTAACATAAGTTTTCTTGTGATTATCAGTAAATATCTGATTTGTATACCTATTTTAGAAACCCACATACTTGGAGCTGTGTAAAAATTTCTCGGGTGAAAAGGGGACAGGAGTAGAAAAAGTTAAAACCATGATTTAGATTAATTAATGCAGCAACCTGTTCAGACTCATCAGTATCACACCTAAAATCCAGAAACAGTTAAATTGGGGAAAAGCTGTTTTGCCAAGGGGCTAGGCATTCATGCTCCTGGCCGTGTGGAGAGTGCCTGCTGTGGCTCTGGGATGGGTGGACACCTTTATTCTAAGTAGCCTTTTACCTTCAGGAGGTAAACTTTATTGAACAGTGGTCACTGCTTAGCAGCTGATTCTGTCTAGCCAAGAATATGTTATTTTCTCTAAATGCACACACGACAAAACTTCTCAAATGGCACTGCTCAAACCACAGTAGCTTAATTTTCAGAAACCAACTTTTTCCCAGGCCCTTTACCTTCTTCATGCTTTTTGACTTTTTGCTGGGATAGACAAGTATCTGATCTTACATCATGGTAACAGGCTCTAAAACACTGGAAACTGCTAAGATAATTCATACTCAAGTGAAATGAGAGCATTAAAAAATGGTAGACATGGATATCTTCCAGTATTGCAACTGCCCCAGAATATCTGCTGTACTAAGACTCACAATAAACGTTTCCTAATGAACTAAAATGAGATTTAAGAAACCAGTATGTAATCGTTTCTAAGTTTTTAACATGTTTCAACTAGTCCCACACATTCCAAACTATTTCTAAAATATTTATCATCATCATCATTATAATAAAATTATATTTTAATACAAGCATTAGAGTTCTAGAGTCATTACACTTACCTATATGGTTTATCTGAGTTATGGATTCGTCTGTGGTTTCTGACACCAACATATGTTGTACTTGTGTAATCGCACACATCACACCTATACTGCTTCTGGGTTGAAGACTTGTTCCCTTCAAGAAGAGAGGTTTAGAGCATGACTTGGTAAGACTCACATAGCAGCACATACACCCCATCATGAACAAGTAATTAATACATGTGCCAACATTTTAATCACGGCTCTCCTACAGTATAATTAACATGTGTTAGGCAGCTCCCTAGTCTCCTGCACCCAGACCATCAGTAGGCATGAGATGAACATCATCTGACCTGTAAACATGGGCAGGTTGGGCTGGTTCTGTGTAACCATGTTCCAAGTTCTACAGCAGAATGAACTTGCTTCCAGCTGCTAAGCTGACTGTCTAGCAGCTAAATTAACCAAGATACACTGTGAATTTGCAACGGTAACCGTGTCTTAAAGAAACATCTATTTGCCAACAGCCTAAGATAGTACAATTATAAAGTATGGCCAGAGGCTGGAGAGATGGCTCAGTGATTAAAAGCACTAGCTGGTTTTGCAGGGGACCCAGGCTTAGTTCCAAGCACCCACATGGTGGCTCACAACTGTCTCTAACTCACCTATGACCTGAGTTCTAGGGGCTTCTTTTTTTTTTTTTGGTCTCTATGGGCACTGTATTCATGTAGTACCCATACATACATGCAGCAAAATAGTGAGCCACATAAGTAAAACTAAAGTGTGGCCAAAGTCATACATAGTGAGCTATTTACAAAAAGTCTCAAGTTTTTACCCTGTGGGTTTGTTCAGTTTACTGCTAAATGTCAGCCTTCAATTAAACTGACGAGGAAAAGCAGTTGCCAACTCTGAAGTGCTCCACAATTCAGTACAGGCACACCTAGTCGGCTGACGGGTTTTGGGGACAAAGGCTGAAAATACTCAGCTCCCTCACGTGTAGCAAACCTGGATCCAGTAGAGACAGGCCCTATTACTAGCTCATTCTGCAAATGAGTAGTTCACACATGACAACATAAGCTGTAGGACTCCATCATAAGCACTGTTTCCTGAAGACGGCCTGTGCTTTGTTTACAGGTGCCCAGGGCATCTTCATTATAACTGTGTTATTTTCAGACAGCAGGTAAGCATGGACGCTCAGGGATCAGGCAGAGTGGGAAGAACTGTGTGCTCTTGGCAGGAAGCAAGCCATGAAGCAAGCCTAGGTGGGAAGGAGTGCACACAGTATCAAAGCAAAATCACAGAAGAAAAGAAAACCCACGCTGCAATTTCAACACAGAAAATTCTTAAGTTAAATTCAAGCTTTCTAAAATTGAAATTTTCTTTAGCTAATAACTACTGCCAGGCAGAACAAAATGTCCCAATTTCCTGGTATAAATCTATAACATTAATACACTAATCATAATTACAATCTAAGTATTGCTCTTAATTGGTAGGTTAAAAACTTGGACTTGATTATAAATGGCATTGTTCCAAATATAGTTTTTTTTTTTAAAAAAAGACCTGAAAAAAATGAAGTGTGAAACATTGGATAATGGTTTTTTTGTGAGAAATATTACAGATCAATGACAACTAATAAAACTGACAGATGGAAAAGCCTAATATAGCACAGAATGAGAGTCCATGCTACTTCAGGCAAATGTTTCCAGTAGAATCCAGACTGGATTTAAAGTTTAACAACTTGGGCCTAATTTCTGCTCTGCCACTGGTCTGAGAATGAGCAAATTATGACACCTCTTGAGGCCTCATTTATCTTTTCTACAGAATGGGAGGGAAGCAGTGGGCCTCACCAAATGGTTTGAATAAGCCTTGCACTCTTTCTGCACATGTCTAGGCACAGTCTCTGCAGTGTTGGTATTAAAACACAGGGCTGCACAAATGACAGGTCTCTAAGAAAGGACAATTTAAACTTCACAAAGAAACACTGCCTGGAAGGCTAGAAGTGCCATGCCAGGGGGTTTGCTGATGTTGTATCCACTAGTTCAGTCCTGACTTCTTCCAGGGCACTGATGCCCTTCACTGCACTGCCAGCGCCTGGCAGGAGACCCTGCTCAAGATAGGCACGCCATGCCTTCTGCCTGATCAAGCATCTGCAGTACTGTTCTATCAGGTCTCTTTACGGGAAGCAGGCTGAATGGAGTCTGTGATATACAACAGCAAAGCCTGGGGGTGACAGTCACGCACCTTCCTCCCACCTTGTTTAATAAGCTTACAGAATAAGTAAGAGAACTCTAACAAAGCATGACTCATAACAATACTGAATTAATCACGTACCCATCGAGAAGAATATGCAGGAAGAGATCAGCTATGCCTGCTACACTACTATGACAGAACAGCAAATGCAGCTAAGTGGGGGTTAAAACTAAAAACATGGTAAGGCCTGGGGTGAAGCTCGGTTGAAGAGTGCTTGCTCAGCACCACAAAAATAAATAAGTAACAAATGAAAAACAAAACCCTCAAACCAAACCAAACCAACAAGATTATCATGGCATACAATCTTAAATCCCAGGAGCAAGCATGTAAGTCACAGATAAAAACAGAGCAGGGTAAGGTGCGAACAATGATTTGAGTGGTCATGCTGAAGTCTTCACTGAATCTGCTAAAAACACTGGGTAGTTTTAAGCCCTTGTTTTTTTCTGATGCTGCTGGAAACAGTCCCAGCACTGGAGTCAACTGCAGGTGGCGCTACTGAGTCACATGTACTTTATTCCCTCATTAGGATTTACGTGCCAATCATGTCTAATGCTTAATGTCTCCTTTAGAAGGGATATGGAAACATAATGAATTAAAATAAAAAGAGGCATTTAGGGCTATTCTGTAGAAAGGAAACAAAACTCTTTTCGCTCAGCCATCCACCTCGGAAGCAGATGCCATGTCATAAACTCCTTTTGTTCGGGATGGTTTTACGGGGATGGCATCTGTTTGACAAGGGGATTCTGGTGCTACGGTGGTGTCAAAATCAGTTCCTTCAGAAACATTCTGGAATCAGTTATGCTTTCTGGGGTATAATTTAATGAGACATTATGGTAAAACATTTTACTCTGCAGTTGTTTCTAACTTTAATTCTTAGGAAATCTAGAAAGGAAAGTCACCCCAATATGTTTTATTTCCCATAAACACTATGTACCACACTGAAGACATTTAAAGCATATCAATTTGCGTGAACCAATGCCAGGAAGCACAGCTTATTACACTCTATCCCTCATTCTCTGGATGTGGCATCGCCTTTTCATGGAACTCTAATTAAATCTTTTGATTCTAATATTCCTATTACCAGATACTCGGCCGACTAGCACCTAACTAGTACATAAAAGGTTTCTGTGTGTGTTTAAATAATGCAGATGAAGTCTGGCAGTCATACTTGGAGAAGAGTAAGATCACAGCAGGAACCCTCAGTTAAAGTTTGAGGTGGGGGCTGCCATCTGCAAAAGCTTTGCCTCGGCAGGTCATTTGGTGCTGGAGAAGGGGCGGAGGCTTGCTTTCTGTGTTCCAGCTTCTCTGGCTTGCTGATCCATTACCTTCTAAAGGTCTCTGCTGTAGCCTGGTTCTTACAGACCCCTGCAAATTTTAACCATAACATCTACTTGCCCAGCTGCAGTCCTTGCAAATTTAGTACTTCTGACCCAGAACTAGATATAATTTACTCTAGTCAGTTCTCAGAAATTCCGCAGGAACAAAGGAAAGATTCATTCCCACCCACAGCATAGAACCAGAGGAGAATATATACACTCTTCCATTTTCACCTCATAAGCTCTTCAGTGCAGCCCGCATTTAACAAGGCACACGTGAGGACGATGGGGTGTGTGTGAATGTGACCAAAGCACATTACATGCATTTACAAAAATGCCCTAATGAAAACCATCATCCTGTACAGTTAAGAGACGCTAATGAAAATGCACAGATACCTTCCTGAATACACTTTCCATCAGCGGCATCACGGGAAATTCTTGGCTCATTTGAAGCTACTGACAAGGTGTTGGGCAGAGAGTGCTGTTCTCTTTCATGGTTTCTCAGTTGGCTCTAAAAAAAAATAAGAAAACTTTACAGTTACCAGGAGGCTATGTAAAAATACCTCCACACTGAAGGAGATCTAAGTCAATAATGACCCAGGACCCACTCAGGTACCCTTTAGGGAAGGTAAATAACGTTTTACACTGGCTGCTGGCTCAGTACAAGATAAACACCTGCCTTGAACACCCACGGAAGTCCGGTCAATGGCCATGCGTGGGGGGATAGCCCTGTAATCTCAGCACACAGGAGGGAGCCTGAAAAAGACTGCAAATTCAAGTGCTGCCTGGGACATTCAGCAGGACACTCACAAACCCAAGGGCTGGGGATGTTCTTCTGCAGCCAAGCACTTGCCTAGCAGCTGAGGTTCTGGGCTGATCCCCAGTCAAGTTCCTCAACTGTCCATCAAGTATGGCTTTATCTCTATGATGCTGCTCCTCCCAGTAGGTCTCACTGCCTGCTTCCCTTCTGCAATGACACACATGACTTTTTGCTGGTTGTGTGGCAGCTGATCTAGCCCGTTATGTCAAACGTGCGCCTGTCAGCCTACTCTACATTCCTTTGTAAGTGACAATCCAGCGCCTAAAATACACACATGGGAAAACACGAAAGCAACGGGTGCTGAGGCTACAGACTAACCAGAAGTTCTGGATAGCAACTGTGGAGACTCAGCTTTTAGATTCATCTTACCAAACCTCCCTGGAACTCATTTTCCTGATATGCAAAATGAAGTGGCTGGACTACATCTACTAAGTTCCTGCCCACCCTCACAACTGCTGCTCACCTTGTAATGGAAAGACTCTTTGCACTGCTTACACTGGTGGACTCTGGTTTTACAGTGGTTGATCATGTGGCTTTCCAAGTCTTTGCTGTCCTCAGCTATGTGATCACAGATAGGACACTGGTAAGGCTGCCTCTGCCGATGGACACGTAGGTGCTGCTTGATGTAGCCCCTGTTGCCACTTGAGTAGTGGCACAGGCGGCAGCGGTAGGGCCGCTCAGCATCCGGGATGTATTCCACCACGTTGGACCCTAACAAACTCCCATCACTGTTGGGCTGACACTGGGCATTGTCCTGCAACTCTTTCAAAATGTCGTCATCTGATGCATTCTGGTCTGTCCTTTCTCTCAGTTTTTCTATTACAGTAAGAAGGGACATGCTGATGCCTGTCTTAACTTGCCCATCTGACAACTCCTGCCTTCCCTCTGGGAGTGCTACCACAGTGGAGCTGCTTTGGTTAAAATTTGCCACTCCATCTGAAGAGTTCTTAAGAGGAGACATGATTTTTTTTGAGTATGCTGCCAATGGACCACTGACCTGCCTTTGTCCAGTGTCCGGATCTAAAAGGTTTATGTCCCCATAGTGCCCAAGGCTGGCTCTCGTTAGTTCAGCAGCTCTTATCGGCATGGTGACAAGGGCTTCTGCAGCTAAGGAGTGCAGCCTGAGAGACTCAGAATTGGTCCTTCTCCGTCCTGGCGGGGCATTCTCATCAGCAGCCAGGCCCTTACTTAGCTCACTGTCTTTCTTCTCTGCACTGCTCCAGCCAATGATCAACCCCCCAATATCAACAGTACATTTGTCAGCATGGTAGATGTCTCCTGCTCCTCCACACCCAGTCTGGGCATTGGCAGGGCTAAGGCTCTTCCCTTCTTCCATCTCAGCATTCATGAGGAAATGTTTTGGCGGGAGGGTTTCTTCTGCACTTGGCAAACGTTCCACAATGACATTCACATGACCTTTTTTGTTTGGGCTGCTGCTAATGATTTTCTGTGCTGATGAGAGCAAACTATCAGCAAACAGATTCTCCTCCGAGTCAGACATCACCTCTAGCATTTCCTCCTCATTAGAGTCCAGGGTGACTGACTGGCTTAGGTGTACTCCCTCCTCTGTGCTCTCTTCTAAAGGAGATGAAGAGGACAGTGGCTCAGAGCTGCAAATCTGTACTTGTACAGATGGCCCATTGTGGATGCTCAGTTCACTGTCCCCAATAGCAATGACGACTGCATCAACCCCACCAGGTGCAGCAGACACTGAAGAAGCAAGAAGGCCCAGGGGCTCATTTTCATTCTCAAAGATTGGGTAGGAGCAGTTAACTTCCCCTGCATGTTTCCAAGCGTGTGTCTTCAGCATCCGCTGCTGGCCACAGGTGTAGCTACAGAACAAGCACCGGTACATGCCATACTGCTCGTACGCATACCACTTCCTCCTGCCCACCTCTGCCACGGCTGCACTTTGGACAGCATGGGTCTGTGGACTGCCCATGCTCACTGGGATGTCCACCATGGTCTCATTCTTTCTTTCTGTGGCTCCCTGGCAGGAGGAGCTAAGCTGGGCGTGGCTACTGGCACTATTTTCGTGTTCATTTACCACATGAGCTTCGAGCTCCTCCTGGCTTCTGGATGTGACGTGGCACTCTGAGCACATTAGCATTACATCGTTCTGCTGCCCGTGCTGCTTGATGTGCTCTTTCAACACCGAGAAGGACGATGACAGAAACTTACAAAGGCTACACTGGTAGGACATAGCCATCCCATCATTTGAGGCAGGACAGTCTGGAGTGGGATTTGCTTGTGACATCTCGGATTTCCTAATCTCAGCGGCAGGGGACTCAGCTGCTTTAGCTGGAATCTCACAGTGCTCTAGGGTTTCAAGAGAATGTGGCATCACACTTGCACGTGGGCGCTTTTTCCCAATCAGAAGACATTTTTGTGACTTTTCATGCCCTACTATCTTGCTTAACTTCTGGATGACATGGACCAATGGATCCGCTTTGGCTTTTCTTTGTTCGTCAACTTCCGAGGCAGGACTGAGGACTCCTTCAGCAGTTAACACAGCCTCCTGTTCTCCAATCTCTGGCACCAACATGGCAATGCTGTTTCTTTCTTCCATATCTAGGGACGGTGCACAGCAGAGAGAGAGCATGGGTTATGGGATAATCGCATGCATGTAATGCAGAAGAACAAATTCAACTCTGGTGGTTGAAATGTTTAACTATCCTCTAAGTTGGGAGGTCCCCATCAATGCACCTGATTGTCCCTGATACCGACTTCAATAGCTCAGAATTCCACTTTGAAATGCACTCTCCTAGAGCAGAAGTTCTTAATTTTCCCAATGCTGTGACTGTTTAATATAGTTCCTCGTGGCGTGGTGATCCCCAACCATAAAATGATTTTTGTTGCTACTTAACTGTTAGGAATCCTTTTGTAAATATTTTTGGAGACAGAGGTTTGCCAAAGGGGTCACAACCCACAGGCTAAGAACCACTGTCCTAGAGACAGATGAAGGAGACCTTGCGTTCCTTGGGAATGACTTTAACACCTTTATCCTGCATCTCCAACCTGCCCTGTCTCTCCCCTGAAATTCTAGAACCAAAGAGACCCAGACTCCTTGTTTCAAGAACCACAGCTATCCTCAGGGCCTTTGGAATCACCTCAAGCTCCTGGGAAGCATCAGTCTGTGAAGCCAACATGCTATGATACAACTCTGGATAAATGATTTCTTATGCCAAATTTTAACTGTAGATAACAAAAATCACACTTCTCTGCTCAAATCTTTGAAATTCTGAAAATATATTCATTTTAATCTACTATACACGACACTGAATTTTGGGAAGTACTATGCAAATGAAACTAAATAAGAGCAATGATTCACTTCCTCCTTTTCTTTGCTTTGATTTATGGTCCACCAGATAAACCACAAACTATGCTGTGGCTTTCTAGAGGTCACATCAGTGGTCAACTGTTCCTCATTCCCAGACATGTTTCTCCTTCCTCAATAGGGAAGGTGGTCAGAGAAGGAAAATGCTGCCACTCCAGTTCTGGTTCAGCTCCAGAAAGGTCAGTGAGGGGTTGTGATAGGCTTGGATAATGCAGCAAGGCACGGAACTTTCTGAGCACAACATACCCTGAAATCACCCTCCCTCTAGGCCTCTGAATAGTCTTCATACTTCCTGGAAGCCCTCTCACTTCAGACATTTCCTTTGACTTAAAGTGAGATTATTTTGTTGACTTGGATAACATTTTTAAGTTTAGGCTCTTTTCCAGCAATAAGTTTTGTTTTTCCACATTTTAGGTACATTCTGGAACTTTATTCACAACATTCAATAAATGCCAACAAGATTTTCAGCGCCACAAGCTATAGACCAAAAACTAGGCACCATTCTTAAACTCCAGTAACAGGCTTTGCACTCTTCTCCCCACATGGCTGACTCCTGCATGAGGGCCCTTTAGCTCTCAGCCAAGATCACACCTAACCCATCAGGCAGGCTCCACCTCCAACCAGGATCACACCTAACCCATCAGGCAGGCTCCACCTCCAACCAGGATCACACCTAACCCATCAGACAGGCTCCACCTCCAACCAGGATCACACCTAACCCATCAAGCAGGCTCCACCTCCAACCAGGATCACACCTAACCCATCAGGCAGGCTCCACCTCCAACCAGGATCACACCTAACCATCAGGCAGACTCCCACAGCGCTCCCCACCTGCACTTTGGGCCTGCCCCTCTCAGTTTCTGGTCACTCGGTGTGGCCTTTCCTTTCTTAAGTACCACTCTTTGCAGCCTGAGTTTTCTTTATCTAGGTTCATGTCAGACAAAAATGCAAGTGTTTTATCTTAAAAACTAACACCAGCTTTTCTTGTTCTAGGGCCACCTGTAACAGCCACCTAATGGAGCGCATATTCCAGAGCCATAACACAGCCATCTCAGGCTCTGAAAACACCTCTCAGAACATTTGTGTCCTTTTGTTATCCTCAGCAAAAACAAGTCTTAAAAAAATCTAAAAGATTTCTATACCAAACTTCCAGCTGCTACAGAAGAGACTGATAAAAGACAATGTGGTTCTTCAGGAAAAAACAAAAACCCCTTTCTGCGGCTTCTTAAAAACAGCTCACTGTCTTAAGATTCCAGTTTTAGGGACTGGAAAGAGATGGCTCAGTGGATAAAGTGCTTGCTGCATGCATGAGGGCCTGAGTTTGGATCCTCAGCACCCATGTCAAAGCTGGGCACTGGGCATGGTGGCACATGCCTATAACCCCAGAGCTGTTACACGAAGAAACCTTGTTTGGGGTTGGCGGTGGGGAGGAGAAAAGAATGGAAATCAAGAGAGAAAGACACTGACACTGACTTCTGACCTCACTTAGGCAAGTGTTAACACATAGACCACCCCAAAAAACAAGAATCCAGTGCTTTTTTGCCAAACGGCGCTGTGGCTCTTCACAAGCATGACGATTTCCCTATGGGGCCATAACTGAAGGATTTTTGTTGTCATTCAATTCAACTGTTAAAGTATATTAGTTACATAATAAAAGTAACAAATTCTACACACGTTTCCAGTTTGTTGGCCTGATACAGCTCTACACCACTGTAAAGCCAAGGTCTCCTTCCCATGCGTGTAACAGCCACACAGGCTAACTGATAACCTAGAGAACCGTCAATGTTTGCTCAACAGACCTCACACCCAGTGTTACAAAGGTGACTCCTGATTTCTCTCGTCTACTTAATGATCCAATAGGAGGAAGACAGAGCAGTGCAAATTGCTCCCAATGGATAGTTCAGTGTGTTCCTTAGAAAGTAAAATCAGGAGGAGGAGGAGTTCATCTAAGCTCAAGAAAGACTAATACAAAAGAATTTGACACAACACTCACTTTCAAAGCTGTGTGTGCTCAGGCATTAAGAGCTAATGGCAACTTGCGGCAGATGCTCCAATTTCCCTGGAACGTTTATGTAAGTATCTCATTTTAGAGGCTGCATACATTTGGGGATAAGTACAGTAAAGCAGCTATCAAACCGATATGACAACATAAAACGCATCAAGAAACACCTGAAAAAAACAGTTTAGGTCTGCAGGCAAAACCAACAAGCAAGCACAAACTCATTAAAAGAAAAGTCTGTTAAATAAAAGGTCACAAACATCCCCTAGTAGAAGTACACAGGAGAGGAGGTCACCAAAACCAACTCTTCACTTTTCACAGTATTTTTCTTAGCTCATTCACGCAATCCATATGTATTATATACACGGTACATGTAGATATGTAGATATATAATATCTATTTGTACATTATATATGTCAAGTGAACTCAACCTCATTAGACTGAGAGATGAAAAGAAAAAGAGTCAGCATATAACCCCATTGACTTCTATCACAGCAGGGAACACGAGGGATCTGAAGACCACCCTTGGACCTGAGAGAGAGAGAGAGAGAGCGCGAGCGATATAAACAGCTCAAAGAAATGCTCATGGGGATGGAAGTAGGGTGGGGCTGGGGAGATGAGATAGGGTAAGAACAACCGACTCTGTCAGTGAAGGTGGGGACGGGATGATTACCTATTCATTATACTCTTCTTTCTACTTGTGCAAGTGCCTACTAAAGTTTTTCATAACAAAAACAACCAAAAGATAAAAACACCACCCCGCCCTGAAAAAAGCAAAATCATAATCACATGCAATGCACAAAGCAACCAGGCAGGACAGGAGCATTTTACACTCACTTAGCTACTCACAGATGGATAAAGCCAAGCACACTGAGAAACTAGGGAAGACCAAGAGCCAGCTTTCCAATACTATGGTAATGTAATATCAAGGCTAAGTACACAATGGCCAAGTCCTGAGAGACTGAAAGGCAGAGAGCAGGCACAAGGCTTCTTGAAGAGGCAGGATATCCACAAGACCCCAGTACCTAGGGGCTAGGCAGATATCATCCCCTGTGCCCTCCTCTCTATGGGATTTTATCACTATGCTCCCTGGTCTTCTGGCTGGGTACTGCCAATGGAGAGCCATGAGGACCAGAGGGACAGTCAACGTCCTGGTTCCCTACTTCTAGGTCACCCTGGATTGCTTGCTTCTTGACAGAAGGTTCCCAGACAGCTGCTCTCTACAAATCTGGTTCTGGCTTTGGTACTGCCCTGTTCTTGCTGCTACTCCCACTAACTCCACCATCCCTGTGGCCTGCCTATAGGAACCTAATACCTGGATTCATATTATATTTGTAAATACAACCTCCCAAGGTATCTTGATTTGAGCTTGTTGCTGGTTGCTTCCCTACTGTTAATAATAGGGCAAGAGTGACAAGAAAGTTTGAGATGAGGAAGCCTGCTCTAACACGACCATCTTCTTACAAGAAGGAAAGAGCATGCTCCCTGAGGTAGGGACCCGAGGAAGGTTAAGACCCAAGTCAAGTGGGAGTTTTCTTGTTTGGAATCACTAGCTACACCATTAGATCAGAAGATCAAGTCAGCCCCAGTAAACAAACTACTCTCCCAAACCAGAAATGCTCTACAGTCTTTCCCACCAAGTCTATCAGATCTGTCCTTGACAATAGTAATCCACAGGAAAAAGCTTATAATTAGTGTCTTTCCCAAGAAAAGTGAACGAATTCAGTTGTCTTTATTTTCTTATAATTTGCTATTTGGTGTATTTGTGTATCTAATTAGTTCCTTTTAGTTATAGCAGTATGATTACAATTCATGTGGGCTTGGAGAAAGGGCTGTAATCTTCTGGGTATATGTGAAGACAGAACAAGATGATATAACAGCATTCTCTTTCAGACTAAGGATTTCTTTTTTTCCAACTAGGCAAATACACAAACAAAAACTCCAAGTGCAAAACAAGAGAAATGATGGCCAATGAATTTCATACTCTTTCAGATTCTCAAGAATTTTAGTATCTCTTTGACATTTGTTTCAACCCAAGAAGGTAGGGTCCTCCCTCCTCTGACGTGCTCTAAGCTGTGTGACCCTCGGCAAGTTACTGCTTTAGAGTCTTCTCGTGTTGAGTGTGAGGGTAAAGCTGGATAGACTGTTAGAGCATGGAGTTACAAACTGTCTACTAAAAGTAACCTAAAAGCTACTTATACTTCAGATCTTCCTAATGTCAGCTATAATCTATTTAAAATCTTCTCAGCTCAATGTAATAATAGCTACTAAAAGAAAGCCAAAATATAAATACATAAGTAATGGGTCTCACAGTGTAGTTTCTTAGCTGGTACCTAGCCTGAGACAATATTCTGACTCGGCGGCCACGATTAAGACACAGGCCTAACTAACATCATGCAGTATTGAGCTTCAGTGTAATTTATGAAACACCCAAGCCAAGCATACTGCTGGGGACCACTGTCCTAGAGATGCAAACTCAGAGTAGGGCTGTTCTCCATTTCCTGTAACATTCCTCTAACTCCTGGTACCTAGCCCCTTCTTTGGATACAAAGGTACAAAGTATCACACCTGAGGCTTGTAGACGTGAGGTAGTATCTGGTTTAAGAACTGGAATCCATGCCAATGGTATTCTAAAACCATGCTTTCTCCAGTATTTCCATCCTAAAGGTGAACAAAGCATCCACATGGAGGAGAGAAACAGCTCCATATGGTAGGCAGCAGCAAACATCTCCCTGTACTAGAGCCCCAGAATTCTTTGGGTCGTTACAACAGTGTCACAGTTTATAAATAAGGTAACTCAGTGAGGTGTAAGTGACTTACCGAAGGTTACATGGCTGTTAGTGGCAGAGACAGTGTCTCTCCAATCAATTCCTGAAATTAATGCAGTCTTCTGGATCAATCGTCACAATCCAGCTGTGGCCAAGAAGGAAATCAAACAGAATCAAATATTTCTCTTTCTTGGTGAAACATAATGACTTACTTTGGCGGTGAAGAAACTTCCAATACTTAACATTAAAAAGAAATTTCAGAAGGCTGTTCACGCAATGTAATTATGTGAGGCAAATTTACATAATTTACTTAACAAGTAGAGGATTTTGCGGAAGCTAAAACGAGTCTAGGAACATCTAACAATTGTATATTTTAAGTCTCTCCCCCCCCTACCTTGTAAGTAATTTACTCAGCAAACTACTGGTTTTACTGACATAATTTTCTAACCAATATGGAATAATAAATGACATATTGGTATTTTAACTTTAACCAAAATTACAGCCTAAGGGATGATTATGTAAATTAGTCAAACACAGTGGGCAGAATGGTAGCATGAAAAGATATGACAGCGTGGCTTGACCTATATATTTTTCAACGCAGTTTCCTGCCCTGGTCCTCCATTTCTTTGCTACCGTTTCCTATGGCTGCTTAAAAGTATGCTTATTCGGTTCGTGTAGAAAGTAACTTAGCGACTAGAGTTAAGTAAAATTAGTACACTGCTAGGGCGTCCTCCGAAGTTAATTTCCAACAAGTTACCGTGGTAAAGAAACGAAGGGCCAGGCTTTCTCTTTTTAATCAATAAAGCAATCCATACACTGAATCAGATTTCAGTACAGTGGAAACTACAAACTCAGGAAAAGGTGATAAATCCAGTAATTGCCTTGGGTGATGTAGACTGATAGCAAATTCCAGTCTACTGCGGGAACCTAAAAAGGCCGCTCTGGGGTTGGGGGGCTGCCTGGGCCTAATTAATCACCCAGGCCTCGCACTCCAAACCAACGCTCGGGATGTCCCAGGTCTGGAAAGGTGAGCGCTTTCCCCAAGGGTCTCAGCGATCTCTGGAAACAACAGTTATCCCAGAGGATGTGTAAGTGTGGGAGGCCAGGACTGCTATTTTTCTTTTGCATTGGTTTTTTCCCTACACCACGCAGTGGTCAAAGGGCCGGGGATTAAAGAAACTTAAGCTCCATCCAGGCTGGCCTAAGCGATTCCACGTCTCCAGAAGCAAAAGCCGCCACAGCCGACCCTGAGGAGCTGCGAGCCTCCCACCCCCAGCCGAGCCGCGCGGCGGGCCCCGGGTCTCCGCAGGCCCGCCAGAGGGACTACAGTGCACACAGGCCCTGGAGCTCCGATGCGTGGCAGCGCCGCGGGCGTCACCGGCGAGGAGGAAGCGGGCGTCACCGGCGAGGCCGCACATGGCCCGCGGCGCTCAAGCGGAGGGGCGGCCCGGGGCTCGGTACCTGCGGTCGGGCGGCGGGCTGCTGCTTCTGCGAGCCTCCTTTGGCCGGCCGGGACCCCGCCGTGCCCTCGCCCTCGTCCTCGCCCGCCTCGCTCCTGACTCTTTTCCCTCTCTTTTCCCCCGCTTTGCCCCTCCTCAGCCGTGGCTCCAAGATGGCGGCGCCGAGACAGATCACGTGAGCGACGGGCGGGTCAGGTGAGCCGGGAGGCGCGCGGTGGGGGCGGGGCCCACGACGGGGCGGGGCCACCACAGGCCACGCCCCTCCGGCGAACAGTGCCTTTGGCTCTGGGCAGATTCTATGGCATCCACGCCCTGTCAGTGCTGGTGTAGATTTAAAACTCAATGAATATGCACTATGGCCTCAACCTGCTGGGGCATTCTTCATTCCCTCATCTACCCCATCTTTCTTTTCACCCTTTTGCATGTGAATCTGGTTGGACTACTCTTTTAAAAAGGTTTATTGGGGGCTGGAGAGATTCTTGCAAAGGACCTGGGTTTGGTTCCTACCACCCATATAGTGGCTCACAACTATGAACAACTCCAGTTTCAGGGGATCTGAATCCCTTACCCTCTTCTGACCTCCATAGACACCAGGCACACACATGGTGCAGATATACATGTAGGTAAACCATTCACACACACAAAATAAATCTAAATTTTTTTTTTTTTTTTTTTTGGTTTTTCGAGACAGGGTTGGCCTTGAACTCACAGAGATCCGCCTGCCTCTGCCTCCCGAGTGCTGGGACTAAAGGCGTGCGCCACCACCGCCCGGCAAATCTAAATATTTTTAAATTAGTATTTACCCATTTATTTATGGTGTTTGTGGAGGGTTTTGCTGGCTAGAGGACAGCTTTTAGGAGTCTAGTTTTTCCTTCCATGAAATGGGCCCTGATACCGAACTCAGGCCTTCAGGCTTGGTAGCAAACACCTTTACCCATTGAACCATATATCCTGCCCTGAGGTACTGGGGATTGAACCCAGGGCCTTGCACGTACTAGGTAAGGGCTCTTCCTCTGAGCTATGTCTCCCAGCCCTGGTCTTCTTTGAGTTTTTTGAGACAGATGGCTCAGTCTGGCCAGGCAGATCTTGAAGTTGTGATCCTTCTACTTTAGTCCTCCAGAGTAGCCAGGAGTGTAGATAGATGTGTCCCCACCATCCCAGGCTCTGCTTGGACTGTTGTTTCAGAGGCACTGTATGTGAAAATAAAGAGGTCCTACCCCTGTGGGACTCAGGTGTCTGATAAGAGACTGTGCTGCCTTTGAGGAATATCTTTGCTCGAAAATAGTTTCTCTTAAGAGAAAAAATTTAAAATTAAAAATTGCATTTATTTATTTGCATGTGAGTGTGCCACAGCCTGTGTGTAGAGGTCAGAGGACAATTTTTGGGAGTTGGCTCTCTCCTTCTACCATGTAGGTCCCAAGGATTGAACTCAGGTTGTCAAGCTTGACTGAAAGTTCCTTTTCTTGCCTAGCCATCTTGAGATTCTTGAAAGATTTTCAGGGGTTGTAGGGTCTGACTTGGTGAGCTTGGCCTAGTAACTCTGAGTAAGCCATTCTGTTTGTGGTTTGGATCTGTTTCATGAAGTATACACTCTGCTGTAACAAGCCCTGTTGGGTCCTGTGCTGGTACCATGAAATAAATGCGAAGTGAGCGGAGCAATGTCACCCAACTTTCAAGCCGGGAATAAGCAGGCAGTTAGGGGGTAGCAGGAACCACATAGCCAGGAGCTCGGGTCCGCACTCAGTGGTCGGGTGTGCACAGGAGGAAGGAAGTTAAAGAGGATTCTGGTGTTGACATCAGCTGGGACATGATAGGTGAGGTATCTTTTGAATGTTTCTTTGTATATTTAGAAACCATTTCAAAGAGTTTGGCTTTTGAGTCATCAGTTACCAAATGAGAGGAAGACCCAAAATACGAGCAAAAAATATGTGTTAGTGTTTAGGTATGGCTACCATCTTATTTACTGCGTCTCTGGATAGCAGTTCACCAGCTGGGGGTTACAGAGAGGGTTGAGTGGTTAAGAGTGCATTCTACTCTTGCAGAAGACCTGTTGCTTCTCAGCACCCATGACAGGCAGCTCACAGTCACCTGTATCTCCAGCTCCAGGGGGATCTGGAACCTCTAGAGCTCATGGGCAACCTGCGTTCCCTTGTACATACTCTCCCCAAATGTAATGAAAAATAATAAAAGCAAATAAAGGAAGATAGGTCACCAGCCTTTGGGTGCTGGAAAACCAAAGAAGTAAGAATTCCATCTGTTGGTTCACAGACTCCGCCACCATTTGGGCCAAGTGGTGAAGAAATGAAAATAAAGGGCTGAGTGATTTGTTTTCTGGAACAAGTTGGAGGTGGAGCATGGGGGCAGGGGGATTAGCCTGGAAGGGTAGAAAGAGAAGAAAATTTGGGTCATTCCCAGGTAGGAAAGCCTGAAAGGAGGGACAAGAGACAAAATGGAAATGTCATCCCTTCCCTTCATTCCCCCATGTTCGCCATCTCTTCCCCTCCCCTCCCTGCCTCTCCCTTCCCTTCCTCTTCCCCTTCTCCATCTCCTCCTTGTTCATTTCCCTTCCCCTCATTTGCCCTCCCCCTTCCCTTTCCCTGGTGCTACTGAAAAGCAAAGAAACAACAACCAAAAACCAAAACAACAACAACAACAAAATGCCTCAAGCTTGTAAGTGCCAATGAGTGATGTCTACTGTAGTATTCATGAATCTGAAAGTCAATGCAAGAGAAATCAGAAATTTCTTGGGTCAAGCAACAGAGCAAAAACATATTAGAGAAAGGGCTGTGGCTGCAGCTCAGAGGTGGACCCTGCCTAGTGCACACAAGGCCCTGGGTTCCAAATCCAGTGCCAGGCCCACGGGCATCCCCATCCCAAACAGAGAAAGGACCACCCAGAGAAAATAGAAGGCTTCTGAGCAAGGCAAAACGAGCAGATGCAGCTTTGTCTGACTTCCCAGCTGTCATTCCTGGCATCCACTTTGTGCCATTTTCTGTCTTTGGCACAGTTAGATCAAACTTCCTGGCCAAGTGGGTGTGTCCAGTGACTGATGAGGGCTAATGAGTTGTGTGCAGAGTGAATCAGCCCTATACTGGAACTTCCAGTTGCCAGTGCAATACCCTCTAGGGTCCTCTTTTCCATTTGGTTTAATGATTGGCAGTTTTTAAATGGTGGCTACCCCATCAGTCTGTATCACAGAGTGACAGTGGGCCTAGCTGATTTACTACATACAGACATGAGGGTAGCCAGTCCCTGAGGTCTGGAAGCTGTTTGTTACTGCAGCATGCCTAGCAACTACCAATGCACTCTCTGCTACATGGAAGCAACTGGAAGGGGCAGAGAAACAAACCATTCCAGGTAGAAAAGGATGCTAATAAAATAATTAGGAAATAACACTAAGAATCATGGCTCAGTTGGTAGAGCATGAGACTCTTAATCTCAGGGTTGTGGATTCGAGCCCCACATTGTTGCCATTTGTAGCTGTGTCCTGCCTGGTCCACAGCCACTCAGACCCAAGTAAACACACAGAGGCTTATATTAATTAAAACTGCTTGGTCATTAGCTCAGGCCTACCACTGACTAGCTCTTACACTTAAACTCAGCCCATTTTCGTTAATCTATATGTCACCACATGTTCTGTGGCTTACCTGTGTGCCATTACATGCTGCTCCCTGGATGGCAGACTGGCGTCTCCTGACTCAGCCTTCCTCTTCCAGGATTCTACTTGTTTGCTTATCCCGCCTATACTTCCTGCCTAGCTACTGGCCAATCAGTGTTTTATTAATCCAGTGTACAAAAGCATTATCCCACAGCATTTCCCTTTTTCTGTTTAATTAAAAAGGGAAGTTTTAACTTTAACATAGTAAAATTATATATAACAAAACAGTTTTCAAGCAAGAATTACAGTTACAATATCTAGTCTATTTATATTTGGCAAATTTAAAGAAAATATTTTATTTATCCTATATTTGTGAGTCCAAGGTTTCATATCTACTTTATATCTTATCATAACCAAGGAAAACAATAATTATAACTATCTAGTCTTCAAATACATCAAAGACCCCAGAAGGATGCAATATTACCTAAGTAAACAGGAAATGCATTGTAAGCAACTTCCAAAATTCTGGGTACCTTCCTGGGGGTGTGGGAGGTGGAATTAGGAGAGAAGGTTCTGCTGGGTTTCTGTGTTTGTTCTGTTTTGTTTTTGACCACTTAACACCCTAGAGTCATCTGGGAGGAGGAAATAACAATGGAGAAAATGTCTCCTTTAGATTGGACTATAGATGAGCATTTTCTTGATTGATGATTAATGGGGGAGGGCCCAGCTCACTGTGGGCAGTGCCATCCCTGGGCTGGTGGTCCTGGATTCTATAAGAAAGCCTGCTGAGCAGTCCATGGGGAGCAAGCCAATGAGCAGAGTTCCTCTGTGGCCTCTGATTCAGTTCCTTCCCTTGCTTCCTGATGATATACTGTAATAGATAAACCAAATAAACCTTTTCTCCCCAAGTTGGCTTTGGTCAGTGTTTTATCGTAGGAATAGAAACCAACTAGTACAAAGGAATGAAATTCAGAATCTGATTGAAAAATGCAGACAACTTCATAAAGTCTGTGATACAAAACTTCAGCAATTACATATGTGTGTATATGTGCATCCATATATACATGCATACATGTATATACAGATACATATATCTGTATATACACACACATGCACCCATGTAAATATCTGCGCATGCACACACACACACACACACACACACACACACACACACACACACATTTTGTAGTGCTGGGGCTGGAATCCAGGGCTGCATGCCAGCTAGCCAAGTGTTTTGCCACTTAGCTACATTCCCAGGTCTTCTTTCACTTTTTATTCAGCCCAGGCTGAACTGGAACCTTCCATTCTCCCATCTCTATTTCTGAGTAGCTGATATCAAAGGCTTGCATTGCCAGTTCTGCTTAATACGACTTTTTCTTAAAAAAAAAAAAAAAAAAGTAAAGGAAAGAAAAGAAAGAAAAACAAACAAAAAACCACCCCCCATAAAATCCCAAAAACCGGCCGGGCAGTGATGGCGCACGCCTTTAATCCCAGCACTCGGGAGGCAGAACCAGGCGGATCTCTGTGAGTTCGAGGCCAGCCTGGGCTACCAAGTGAGTCCCAGGAAAGGTTCAAAGCTACACAGAGAAACCCTGTCTTGAAAAACCAAAAAAAAAAAAAAAAAAAAAAAAAAAAAAAAATCCCAAAAACCTCTATAGAAAGATTGTAGTAAAAGTTTCTTAAAAGTCGAAGGAGTGCAAAGAGCCAGGCATCATTCCACTGAGCTTGTGGACGTCTCAATAAACTCTCAGCACCTTGTACCTGCCACAGAATGTTTTTTATCATGATTTAATTAACCAGCTGTAGCAAGATTTCATGTTCCAGATAGGAAACCTGCTTACTCAATTATCTAGTACTTGTTCAATGGGATCTGATTCTGTTCTCAGATGAGCGATGACCCTGATAACCAAGTCCCTGTCTCCACACACCTCATTATTCTACTTTAGGGTCCTTAATTAGTTGATAAGGTTAAAGGTTTCACTTCTGCAAGTATCATGGGTCTTTATCTTCTAAAGTGACCACGAAGTCTGATGCAACTTAAACCAGTCCACTATTAAAATTTGGGGAATACAAAAGATAGTGTTGTACACGGCAAGTTGGTAACTGGCCAGAAACTGAATGAGACACCCGAGCAGCTGGACCCTGAGGAAATCTTGTTTCTGGATGGGTGAGATGGCCCAAAGGTGCTTGTTGCCAAGCCTGAGGACCTGAACATGGTGGAGGGCATAGAGCCTGTACCTGAATGTTGTTCTTTGACCTCTACATGTGTGCCATGACGTGTGTGTATGTGTGTGTGTGTGTGTATGTGTGTGTGTGTGTACACACAGGAACAAGCACACACACATGAATAAATAAACGGAAGTCTTTCAAGTTATGATACTTCTGAAGGACACTTTGTCTTTGGTAAAATGAGATTAGATTAGCTTTCTTATAGAGAGATTCATCATGTAAGTCTTTTGAACAGCACGGGGAATTGAAGGAGGCAAGAGGCCTGTGTAAGAAATACAGTAATTAAGAATCTTTTTTTTTTCTTTTTGAGTCAGTGTCTGGCCTGGAACTGCAGATCTTTCCACTTCAGCTTCTCAGCTGCTGAGATCAGAGACATTTGCCACTACATCTGGCTGATAGTAATATATATATATATATATATATATATATATATATATATATATATATATATATATAGTATTGTGATCTTAAAAAAATATATTGTCTCAAAAAATGAAATGTTGGGTCTGAAGAGATGTCTCATGTTTAAGAGCACTTGCTGCTTTTCTAGAGGACCCAGGTTTGGTTCCCAGCACCAACATGGTGACTTACAACTGCCTATGACTGCAGTTCCAGGGGAGCTGGGGCTCTCTTTGGCCTCTGGGAGCACCTGAAATATATGAGGTACTCCTACATACCTACAGGTAAAATTCATACATATAGGCCGGGCGGTGGTGGCGTACACCTTTAATCCCAGAACTTGGGAGGCAGAGCCAGGTGGATCTCTGTGAGTTCGAGGCCAGCCTGGTCTACAGAGTGAGATGCAGGACAGGTACCAAAACTACACAGAGAAACCCTGTCTTGAACCCCCCCCAAAAAAACCACCAAAACCCCCCCAAAAAACAAAAAACCCCCTCCATATAAAATAAAAAAAACTAATCTTTAAAAATTATATTTAAAAAGAAAAGATTGTTGTAATCTCAGCTAATCAGGAGGCAGAGGCGGGAGGATCACGATGAGTTCAAAGTCAGCCTGTCTCAAAAAGTCAAAGGAAGGCTGGGATTGTAACTGGGGGTATAGCCCTTGCCTGCCATGTGTAATCCGCATACCAGAAACAGAAATGGCAGAGGGAGAGGGAGAGGCGGCAGAGGGCCGGGAGGGAGACAGAGGACACAGTCTGGTGCCAGCAGTCACCTCTGACTTTGCTTTCTCGTTTAGGGCACTGAGCAGGCGGGCTCCGTCTTTCTGACATTTTTCACCTCCCTTGTAAAACCAGAAGTTCAATTTATCCTTTTTCTAAGCTTCAGATGTCTAGTCTGTGGAGGTACAGAGTTTAATTACAGGAGGTCCTCTGGGTTCAAAAGGGAACTTCATCATGAAGAATAATGTCGAGTCTTGACTTTATTAATGAATGAAAAGTTTGCTCGATGTAAGTCAGAAGGAATATACGATTAAAAGACATGATATATTATCATATATCTAGCTGTCAGTAATAAATTAACATTAGCTCTGGATTCTGTACACTTTGCATCCTGAATATATACCTAGAAATACTTCATAATTATAGTTCGGGTCTCAAGAACCATCGCAAATTACCCACCTGTCATTCATTCTCCATAAGAGCCGCCGACCCTGTTACTAATGCGGTGTACTGGCATCTGAAATCCCTGGTGCTGGAGTCAGGAAGCTGGCTCAGTGGGCTGAAAGTGTTTTCTGTGCAAGTGCAAGGACCTGAGTTTGAACCCCTGGAACCCGCAAAAAGCTGGTTCAGTGAGGCCACTCCCAACCCAAATTTGAATCATTCCGCTCAGATCCTTGAAACAGAACCTCTAGGCAAGGAGCACGCTATAAGTTCCATCTCAGCCTCGATGGCACAGCCTCTCTGCTGATTATGAGGGGGCTCCCAGGGAAGTTTTTCTAAATGAATTAGCATGGAAATAACTGGGCTGAAACTTAGGCCAGACCCACATGAGCTAGAGCAAACACCCATTGTCACAATAGGCCTCTCTGCCCTTTCTCCTCTTCTTCCTGGCCGTGGATGACTGCTACACCTTTTTCTGCTTTATTTAGAACCTCATAGGAAACAAGTTGAGGGGCTGGAGAGATGGTTCAGTGGTTAGGAACACTGGCTGCTCTTGCAGAGGACCCGGGTTCAGTTCCCAGCACCTGCCCGGTGGCTCACAAGCATCTGTAACTCCAGTTCCAGGGGATCTGACACCCTCTTCTGGCCTTTGCAGGCACCAGGCATGTATATGGTACATAGACATACTAGCAGGCAAAGCACTCCCACACCTAAAATAAAAATAAGTAATTCTTTTAAGGAGAGATTAAAGCCAGGCAGGCTGGCTTACACCTGTCATCCCATCACAACTTAGGAGAGTGAGGCAAGAGGATCAAGAGTTCAAGGTCAGCTTGGGCAACCTGGAGATCCCGTCTCAAAAAAAGGAGGAACAGAAAGGTCTCACAACACTAGAGATTTTATGACTTCTATTTATTTGTATTTTGTACATTTGTGTATGTGTACCATGTGTACCTGTCTTGTGTGTATAAACATCAATGTGGACACACACGTGCAATGGCACACAGATGTCAGAGGACAATCTCACGTGTTGGCTGGTACCTTTCACCTCATCTGACACAGTGTCTCTCATTGGCCATTGAGATTTTGGGGGTTCTCTTGTTTCTGCCTCCCATCCTCTCCTAGGAGTGCTGGGAATTGCAAACACTCACACTAGGTGTCCAGCTTTTTGTGCGTTCCAGGGGTTCAAACTCAGGTCCTTGCCCTTGCACAGAAAACACTTTCAGCCCACTGAGCCAGCTTCCTGACTCCAGCACCAGGGATTTCAGATGCCAGTACACCGCATTAGTAACAGGGTCGGCGGCTCTTACGGAGAATGAATGACAGGTGGGTAATTTGCGATGGTTCTTGAGACCCGAACTATAAGTATGAAGTATTTCTAGGTATATATTCAGGATGCAAAGTGTACAGAATCCAGAGCTAATGTTAATTTATATATCATGTCTTTTAATCGTACATTCCTTCTGACTTACATCGAGCAAACTTTTCATTCATTAATAAAGTCAAGACTCGGTCGGGCGGTGGTGGCGCACACCTTTAATCCCAGCACTCGGGAGGCAGAGCCAGGTGGATCTCTGTGAGTTCGAGGCCAGCCTGGGCTACCAAGTGAGTCCCAGGAAAGGCGCAAAGCTACACAGAGAAACCCTGTCTCGAAAAACCAAAAAAAAAAGTCAAGACTCAAGCCCAGGAGGAGGATGAGTTTGAGGCCAAAAAAAAAAAAAAAAAAAAAAAAAGGAAAAGGAAAAGGAACCCCTCCCCCGAAAAAGCTATGATAGTGACATCTAGTGGCCTATCGTGGATGTGCAGTTATGCCACCAGGCACTCCAGGGGGAAGTGAGCCATTTCCCTTGTCCAGCTAGCACAGGCGTGACCTTGGGTCCTTGAATCAATCTAAGTGTTTGGTTTCTGGCAGCGATTCCCCGAATGCACGATGGTGTGTGGTGGGGATCCAGGAAACCTCAGCAGCAGGCTGGGAGTGGGGGAGGAGGGGGCACCTTTTGAGGATGACAAGAGGCTCCTTGCAGAGTCTGCATATGCCATAGACTTGGGCTGCAGTAAAGGGAGGCACAGCAGGGCCGCCCGCTGGAGCAGGGAGCAAGCCTCAGCCAGACTGTCTCTCTGCCTCAATGCAGACTGGTTATTGGCAATTTTTAAGCAATTTTCAGTCGTCTCTGTCAATAAAGCCACTCTCCTCTCTGCAAGGGGAATGAAAATGAGATTTTGAGGTCTCCGAAAGACTGTCTCCTTTTGCCACTTATCTGACTAGGAGCCAGGTAGGAGCCCAGCTGAGGGGGAGGGGGTGGGAGCTACTTGCTATGCCCCCAACCCTGCTGACAGGTAATAGCACCTGCTTCTGAGGAGGGTTGTAATAGGGTACTGCTAGACTCTTCCCGGAGAAGGAGCGCTTCCCTTAGAGCGGAGACCTTTATTGATGAGCGTGGCAGAGGAAGAAAATGAAAAGCGGGAGATGAAGAAAGACACTAACTGGGAGAGGTAACTGCCTATCATACCAAGGAAGTCTAGCTGAGGGGTAATCCTGGACTTCAAAATATGTCATTTGTTATTTTGACAGCTCCTCTTGACGTGACAGACTAGGAGGAGTCAGTCGAGGCAGCCGCGGCAGCTGCTGCTGCCAGCATGGAGTTCTTGCTTCTTTTGGTGACTAGGAAAGCTGGTGTGGTGGTGGATGCCAGTATTCCTGGCTCTCAGAGGGAGCCGAAGCTGAGGATCGGAAGTTTTGAGGCCGGCCTGGGTTACATAATGACCCTGATCGAGCCAGGTGGTGCAGGCCTGTAATCTCAGGTTACTCAGAAGGCAGTGACAGGAGGATTGCAAGTTCAAGGCCTGTAGTGGCATTTGCTCTGCCCATGACCTTGGGCTATATGGCCCAATGGAGGTGCTTTCTGCTGTTGTACATGACCTCTTATAAGGGGTTGGAGAAGGGTCACATGAGTCATTTTTTTTTTTTTTAAAATCCTGGCATGATCAGACACCAGACAGCCTGGGAATTGAACCTGGGTCCTCTGGAACAGACAGTGCTCTTAACTGCAGCAGGGAGCAGGGAGGACATGTGACCCTTCTCCAACCCCTTATAAGAGGTCACATAATGGCAGGAAGCCTCCTTTGGGCCACACAGCTCAAGGTCATGGGTGGAGCAAATACCACTACAAAGGTCAACCTGGACAACTTAGTGAGACTTTTGTCTCAAAAATTAAAAACAAAAACAAAATAGCAGGAGGAAAGGGGTGGGGTGGGAATATTGTTCAGCAGTGGAATGCTTGCTTAGCCTTTGGGAGGCTCCAGGTTCAATCTCCAGTTACTGAAACCAAACCAAACTGAGGAGCCCAACCACAACACACACACACACACACACACACACACACACACACACACACACACACACACACACACACACATAAATAACAGAGATAGCAAGTAACTTTTAGGACCCCAGCTTCATATACCGTGAAAAAACAAGCATGGGGAACCTTGGGAATGGGAGGAGAAAGGCTCGAGGTGCCAGTAAAGTCTAGGGCACGGTTTTCATGCCCCTTCTGGCCTTATCAGAAGTGATGACGCAGGTAGGAGGGGTCTGCTGCAATGTATCCTGGGCTGAGCGTGGCGTGTTCCGTACTTGGCATGTGGATGGCTTCAGGCTTTTGTGAGGAGGTGACCAGGTTCCTGTGATATTCATCTTGCTGATCTGCCTTTCTCCTTCAGCTCCTGTCTCAGAGTCACCTTAAGGGATGACCTTGTGATCAGCTCTTGGTAGCAAGAAGCCTCAGAAATAGGTCATCATCTCAGGGCCTGGAGAGATGGCTCAGCTGTTAAGAGCACTTGCTGCTCTTCCAGAGGACCTGGGTTAGATTCTCAGCACCCACCTGGTGGCTTACAACCATCTGTGACTCCAGCCCCAGGGGGTCCCATGCCTTTTTCTGGCCTCCACAGACACCGCATGCACATGGTGCACAAAAACATATGCTGGCAAAACACCCATACACATAAAATAAAACTAAAAATATGGGTCACTTGGTGTACATGAAGACAACAGACCAGCATGACTGCAGGTGTGACAGGGTGCAGAACAAGTGCCTGCATGCTGTAGAGTCTTCTGACTGGTGTGGAGGGCTCGGTGCAGGGACAGCGAGGTGGCTGAAAGGCATCTTGGAGTGGTGGCTGAGCCAGGTGGAAAGCATCTCAGGAGGAGGCTCTGTGCCCGGGACTCTGCCTTGCTTCTTCACACATTTGTGTGTGAGCTGTTCTGTCATTAGTCACAGGTGCTGTTGCTGCCTCAGCATCTGTCTGCCCTGGTGGGACTGAGCTCCCACTAGGCTCTAAGAGTCTGCCAGTCTTGTTCATTGATAGTTCCTCTGGCTGAGGACAGTCAGTGATTGAATGAAACAGTGATTTCACTTAGACACCTGCTCTAAGGCATGGGTTTAGCTAGAGGAGGCACTCAATAGCTGCCTTTTGGAGCTGGGCCTGGTGGGGCATCCCTGTGATACTACCAGTTCGGGGAGTGAGGCAGAAGGATTGCAGAGTTTGAGGCCAGCCTAGGCTACATAGTGAGATCCTATCTCAATGAACTAACACCCACCTCCAAGGAAGTATTCGGGGAGAGGGTTGGCTTAGGAGAGGACAAAGTTGTCATCCAGTTAGGGACCTAGGTGTCAGTCTTAGTGATGGCTTGAGAGTTCTGGGTTTTGCTCTTAGTTTCAGAATCTTCTAGCACCTGCTAGCTGTGTGACCCAGTGTATTCCTTAACCCCTCTGTGCTATATTTTATCATAATGTGGGGATTATGATATTCAAAGTGTTGTTAAAATGTTTAAAGGGGGACTGGAGAGATGGCTCAGCAATTAAGAGCACTGGTTGTTTTTCCAGAGGAATGGGGTTCAATTCCTAGTGCCCACATGGTAGCTCACAACTATCTATAATTCCGGTTCCATGGGATCCAACACCCTCTCCTGGCCTCCTTGGGTGCTATAAGCACACGGTGTGCATCCATATATGCAGGCAAAACCCATACACCCTAAAAAAGTTGAAAGGACATAATATATATGAGGTACTGATGTGACTGATTGATGGAAAGCGATCAATAAATAGTGTATTTGTAAAAGATTCAGAGAAATGTGACCTGAAATGAAAGGCCACCATGAGGGAGACTCTGAGCTGTTTTTTGATGGCTGATTGGAAACAGGGAGTGGAGCTGAGAGATGGTCAGCCCCTCTGCTCCTTCGGCATGTCCTGGGCAGGAAGCTTTAGTGTATAGTGCACACCAGTGACAGACAGACGCAGACATCAGCGGATACACAGAAGAGGAGAAGTAGGTGGGGTCACCCAGCCACTGTCCTCAGCTTAGACTTGTGGTGTGAGCTTTAGAGCCAAGTCACATATGACCATGTGGGGCTCGGCCTATTTTTCCTACGTATGGATTTTGTTGGCAACTGAGCACACCGTAACACCCTGCGACTTAGATACATTTGGTTAAGAAGTCCGGAAGCCTTTGGACTTGACGCTGACGTGTTGAAAGCGAATAGAATTTACATGACTTAAATGGCTTACCCGGATCCGCACGGCTCTCTCTTCAGATTTAAATGTTCGAAGGCTCCAGATTTGATATTTCATCAGCAACAATGACATCTAGGGGTTGTTTTCTCCAGGTTTCACCCAAGATGTCTGTTCTCTGTTTGGAAAAGTGAGTGTGTTAACATGTCTACGATGCATAGTATGTCAGCTCAGAGCACATGAACTTGGTCGGTAGCCACAGTGACACTCAGGGATCAATGAAAGGAAAGTGGCAGTGGCCTCAGCTGTCACCTAAGCACACTACTCCCTTTCTACAGTGACAACACGCCTCCCATTGCTTGCTCTTATTTCCCTTTGACCTGTTAGTCAGCCACATGGCACACTTTGTATTCTGTTTGAGCCAAGTCCACTCTGCCAGATGGAAGGACCCATCTTCCCTGTGTGGGAAGGGGCCAAGCCTTGGCTTCTAGAGCCTTCTTTGTGTGTGTGTGTGTGTGTGTGTGTGTGTGTGTGTGTGTGTGTATTCATTCTTTGAGGAGCCTGTGGAACATGTTTTGGAATTTCATATAGTCTCTCTTCTTTTGTTGTTGTTTGCAGTGCTGGGCCTCGAACCCAGTGCCTTGTGCATGCCATCACTGAGTTGCACTTCTGGCCTATTGCTTTTTAAGAACCAGATTCTTCTAAATGGAAGCAAAGTCAATCTCTCCATTGCGTGACATTGACCATCAGATTCATTATCAGCCTTTGATTTATTGTCAGTCAGCCACTCAGCTAATAGCATCTATTGAGCACCTTCTGGGTATACTGTGTGTGTGCACGCACGTGTGTGTGTGTGTGTGTGTGTCCATCCTAATGTTTAGGTGTGAGTAAGAGAGGCTTGAAAGGACACCCACAAAAGCCCAGTCTATGAAAAAACATAGAGTTTACTTAAATTGTTCCAAACATGGGCTAGGGAGATGGCTCAGTGGTGAAGAGCACCGGGTGCTCTTGCAGAGGATCTGGGTTCAATTCCCAGCATCCACGTGGTGGCTCACAACTGTCTGCAACTCCAATTCTAGAGGATCTTACTCCCTCTTCTGGCATCCATGTATACTGTGTGGTACACAAGTAGGCAAAACACTCATACACATAAAAGAAAAATAAGTAAAATTGCAAAAAATTAAAATGTGTTTCAAACATGCATATTAATAAGAAATAAAGTATTCATGAAAGCATCTGCGAGTGTGCTTGGAAAATGCACAAATATTCAGATGCCGTTTAAGTTTCCTCTCAGCAGGAAAATTTTGTGATCTTTGTGCAGATTAAAATTAGCACCCTGCTATATCGATGCCTAGTAATATTGGCATCAGCACAAGAAACACAGCTACCTTATTGTCTTTCTGTGTGTTAGTTGAAGGGGAAATGTAAAGTGGAGTCCATCTCCCTGGGTGACTGAATTGACTCTTGGTGATAACATGCTTGGAGGTTCATTTCCCACTCGTTTGCAGAGCCCTGCAGTTAGAGGTAGGTGGTTAAGTCTGGCTAACATGTCTCTGAATGCCATCTCTTCTGATTTCCATTGATTTTATTTTTCTATTATCTGTATATGTGTATGTCTGTGTGTGGGTATGTGCATATGTGAGTGCAGGTGCCTATGGAGGCCAGAAGGGGTCGACAGATACTCATCTGGAGTTGGAGTTACAGGCAGCTGTGACCTGCCTGATGTGGATGCTGGGAAATGAACTGAGGTCCTCTGGAAGAGCTGTAAGTTCTCTTAACTTATGAGCCATCTCAATCCCTCTTTTTTGATTACTTTAAGAGGACTATGGAATGCTTTTCACTTTACCTCTTGCTGTTGGCCTTCCTTTGTGATCTCCTTAGTCTAGTTTCCAGTTTCCTGCTATGGCAAATAGAATGTGCAGATCTGACACCCAGCAAGCTGTTGATTTAACTATGGGATATGTGTGTTAGCCTATGTTAAGCTTTCTATTACTGTCACAAACACCTGAGATCAACTCAAGGTTTACTTACTTGGTTCATGGTCACCTGACCCTGTTGCTTTGGGCCTGGAGCCGAACAGGACACTGTGGCGGGAGCATGTGACAGGGCAGAGCTGTTTGCCTTGTGGTGACTGAGAAGTGGAGGGAAACAAGAAATGGGGGCTTGGTGGCTTAATATCTGTCTTGAGGACATGCTGTCACCCCCTTTCTTCCCATTGCATCCTATGTCAGCTACTAATGTCTCCAGTCCCTCCTCATATGTGGGCCGTTGGAGGACAGAATATCCAAATTATAGCAATAGTCCTTCAATCTTTTCCTTTCTGAAGGGGCCTGAGAATCTCCAAATGGCATCTTTTGAAGTTCAGCCTGATGTCTCTGATGCTGCCCCAGCCTCAGCTCCATCATGTCTGCCTGTGGTGGTTTGAAAGAAAATGGCCCCTAATAGGGAGTGGTACTATTAGGAGGTATGGCTTTGTTGGAGGAGGTGTGGTCTTGTTGGGGGAAGTGTGCCACTGTGGGGGTCAGCTTTGAGTTCTCCTATGCTTAAGCTACACTCAGTGTGGCACACAGTTGCTTCTACTGCCTTCGGATCAAGATGTAGAGCTCTCAGCTCCTTCTCCAGCACCACGTCTGCCTGCCTGCTGCCATGTCCCACCATGATGATGATGGACTAAACTTCTGAAACTGTAAGCCAGCCCAATTAAATGTTTTCCTTTATAAGAGTTGCCGTGGTCCAGGAGAACAGGCGCAGCACCAGGAGAACAGGGGCAGCACAACAGAGTTGACCCTATTGGTGGGGGTACAGGTGAGCAAGGTCTGTGGGTGTGAGAGCAGGAGAGCTGCCCCGCCCCCCTTCATATGCCATGGGATGGCAAGGGTAAGGGAAATATGCCATCCCTCCCAACCCCTTGCCACCTGTGACAGGTGGGAGACCTGGCCTTGGGGACATGAGAGTGGAAGAGCTGGCTCTGTCCCTCACCAAGTGCAGCAATACGGAGAGTGGGACCTTCACCTCTCATGGGCAAAACAGTAGAGCTGGACCTGAGGGCATGAGAGCAGGAGAGCTGCCCCCCTCTCTCCCCCTGTCTGCTGCACTGGGTGAGCTGCAGGGGCAGTGCTGGAGAGCTCCCCCTGGTGGTAAAGATGAGGGAAAGCCGGCGGTCTCACTAACCCAGCTACCACCCAGGCCCAGAACCAGGACTGTGAGATACCCCACCCAAACACCCACCTCATCTGTGAACTGCTGGAGCACGTGAAGGGGCCAGACCTGCAGATCCAAAGCTCCAGGAGCTCCATGACACAAGACAACAACAGGATATACAAGAGGAGTCCCAGTGAGGGCCCAGTGTCTATAGTGCAGCAGGAGCCAGCGGCCTCGAACCAGACCAATGACTCATTGCGATGAACACTCACAAGTAAAGATGTATGGACTAAAGGGTAAACTGTGGGACTCACTGGGCCACACTGCAGCTTCCACGCTGAGATTTTTTTTTATTTGGTTTTCTAATTTTTATAATAGTTTGGTTTTACTTTTAAGTTTTGTGTTTTTTTGGGGGAGGTTGCAAGGCAGAGGGTGGAAGCAGGGGGACAGGGAGATGAGTGGGATTGCGATGCATGATATGAAACCCACAAAGGATCAAAAAAAGTTAAAAATATTGCTGTGGTCATGGGGTCTCTTCACAGCAATGGAAACTCTAAGACACTCACTGCCCATCCTCATGAAGTATGTTTCTGCTTTCTAGATGCTTCACCCCCCATCCTCCAGAGTGCTTCTCTCAGTCTTTGGGTCTTAACAAAACAACTGTTTTTTAGGGGAGCCTTCCTTGACCTTTCTGATCAGGTCCATCCCTTACCTGCTCTTCATGTCTCACGGCCTTGTTGACACTAAAAACAAACCCATAGCTATAGTTCGTGTGTGTCTTCTTAGGTCGGTGTCAGCTCCTTTCCATCCTGCTGATCTGGGGACTTGGTTATGGTGTTTCATCATAGCAACAGGAACCCTAACTTAGAAAATGGGCCTTAGTGTTGTGTGTGGGAAGTTCCAATTTCCTGAGTCACCTCACTCGACAAAGATCCTCTTGCCTGTTATCAGCAAGATGAAGGCTGAAGGGGTACTGATACAGCCCTTTTGCATCTGTGAGACATTCGTGGATGTTAGGAATCTTGTAGTCCAGACCCTTGGCAGATAGTCCAAGGAGTGGGGTTTGCCTTCCCACAGCTTTGGGTGAAGAGCCACATTCAGCTCTCCTTTGAAAGACTCCTAAACCATTGTCTGCCTCACCAACTTCACTCCAAGTGCAGCCTTGATGTTTCGCCTGTAAAGGAGAAATTATCAAGTGATAGCCTTATGTGGTGTGTAGTTGTGTGTCTCTCTGTATATGCCACGTGAGTGAAGTGTCTGAGGTGACCGGAAGAGGGTGTCAGACCCACAGTTTCTGGAGTTACAGGTGATGACAATCCACTTGGCATGGGGGCTGGGAAGCAAATTCAGGAAGTGCAGTTCATTCTCTTAATCACTGTCTCTTCAGTCCCCCAAATAGTATCTTTTTAAAAAAATGTTTTATTTCATTTTTTAATTAGATCTCTTCATTTTATTTTCTGTGAGTGGACATATGTATATATGTGCACCATAGCCTTGCACTCATAATCCTTCTGCCTCAGGACTGCTTGAGTGCTGAGATGACAGGTGTGTGCCACTGTACGTGGCTTTCAACAAATATTCACTTATTCGTGTGTGTGTGTGTGTGTGTGTGTGTGTGTGTGTGTGTGTGTGTAGGCCAGAGGACAACGTTCTGAAGTTGGTTCACTTCTTCCACCTTGTGAGATGTGGGGATTGAACTCAGGCCATCAGGCATGCTAACCCTTCTACCCACTGAGTCACCTCATTGGCCCTTAGGAAATATTTCTTGAGTGTGGACTGTGTGGTGGGTGTGGTGTCTGGCACTCACAGGTCAGCATTGGAAAGAACAGTGATCGTCTGCTCTCATGGACCTGGGAGTCTTACCAGGGATGTAGGATGAGGCCAGTGAACAGACAGACCAATGTGCAGTACAACGTCAGTGCTAAAAGGAAATAAGAGGCGTAGGAGGGCTGGCTGTGCTGGCACACACCTTTAAGCACTTGGGAGGCAGAGGCCGGCAGATTCTGTGAGTTTGAGGCCAGTCTGGTCTAAAGAATGAGTTCCAGGACAGCCAGGTTTCGTAGAAAGACCCTGTAAAGCTACAGGAGGGAGTGTTCGGGGGAGACTACCTTGAGGTAGACCAGAAGTACAAAATCCACTGATGAGTTTTCCAGGCTTGGGATGCTTGGGATGAACAGTAGGGAGAGCTTGAGCTGAGTATGTTGGAGGAAACGGCCATTTTCTAGACTAGAAAGCAAAGTTGGAAGGTGTTTTATTTATGACTGCTGGTGGGACCAGCCAATAGGACATGGATGGACTACTTTTGCCTTGTCTTTGTGAGGGGTCAGGCAGGGACTGCATGCAAATCTTAAGCTCCTGCCTCAGCTCCTGCTCTTGCTGTCTTCTTCAGGTGGTGCCATCTCAAGTGATGCCCCTTTCTCTCCTCTCCCTCCACCCATCTCTGCCCCGTAGCCCCCAGGACTGGGAATCTGGAGCAAACTGTGAGACCAGCAGAGAGCCTAGGAGCAAATGGGATTTTAAAGTTGTTAGGGCATTTTGGCATTCAGTCCCCCAAGATGAGCAAAGTGTCTTGTCTGGTAATTGCAATTAATGGCCCTGCTATTCAAGCATATCCGTCAATAAATCTCCTCTAAGAACCGATTGGGCACGGCCGTTGCCATAGTTATGTCTCTAAATTGAGCCCAGGGTAGTTGGCCACAGCACTGACCTTATTGGGGTCAGGGCTGCTTCCTGACTGTGTGACTCCATATCCCAGGAATTAAAACCACCCTCCAAGTGGCTGGCTTCCAGCCAGATGAAAGGCAGTCTGAGCTCCCCAGCTTAACTGCCATGTGGAATAAAAATCTTTGAAACCCTGGCACACCAGTGATGTTGTAGAAGGGCCATCCGGCCCACTTTGCCACGGTTCTGGGATGGAGTGGGAAGGGAGATGTCACATCAGGTTGGTGATAGCCAATGATCATCATGGCAGATGTCAGGTCAGAGACGTGGTTCACCAGGCCAGCCTCTCATCATAAAGTTTCCTCAGTTCTTCCCTTCTGGAGAATTCCTCCCCACATCCACAGGCACTGTCTCAAGGCGTTCTTTTACCTCAGTTCCCCCCCTTTCTGCTCCCCTATGAGACATCATTCTGTGATCGCCATGCTTGCTTGCTGTGCTCAAGGGTCAGTTCTCTGAGGCGCCAGCCATGGCTTTAGAGATTGACTGTACTTCTTCTCCACCTCTGTTGACATACCTTATATCCTCAGTGGGCCTCAGATTTCTAGAATGACCTTTCAGAACCAAGTCTGGACCACCTGCTCAGATGGGAGTATTTTTAGATGTGTTCACTTGTATGTTGGTGATGACAGACAGTTATGAAGGAAGAGAAGGGTGGATGTGGGGGCAAAAATGCTTTTGAAATAGTCTCTTAGTTCATGTGCATGTGAAAACCTTGAAAAGACAAGAAGGGAAGTGAATGGGGGGAGGGAAGGAGAAGGAAGGAAATAAAGGAGAGGAAGGGCATTTATTTCTATCTCTGCCTGGGCTCTGACTTCATTTAAACCTTGGAAATGTTCCTCATTGCTCTGTTCTCCTGTTCTTTCATTGTCTACCTCAGAGTTTATGTTGTAGGGTGAGAGCTG